ATCTATCTATCTATCTATCTATCTATCTATCTATCTATCTATCTATCCATCCATCCATCTATCTATCTATCTATCTATCTATGTATCTACCTATCTATCTGCCTGTCTGTCTGTCTATCTAATCACTTTACATCCTGATCCCAGCCCTCCCTCCTCTCCTCCAGTCCCACCCTCACACCCTCTCCCTCCATTCTCCCCTCTCCTTCTTCGCACAGAACCCCATCCATCCTCTTCTTGTGTACCGATGTTTTTCAAATCCAGATTTAGGCCTTCCTGTTAATTTTTTTTTACTAAAAATCACCTGAGTTAAATCATTTCATCATTAATGTCTTGGGTTTTAAATTTCAGAATTGGCCACCTAAGGCATTTATGCTCTGTTTAGAATTTTTAATTCTTTGACAATTTCATACTTGTGTATATTGAATTTTGATCATTTCACTCCCCACCATCCTCTCTGGGCCCCCGACTCTGTTCCCCTCCCTCTCCGTCTGCTTCTCTCTGGTTCCCATTAAGCTCAATCAGGATTTCCTGCTTGAGCATGGGATGGGAGTTACTGCGCACGTGAAGTGTCTGTGCCGCTGATGAAAACAGCACCCTTTCCCCAAATTTCCTTAGATGAGACCTCATGCTTTCAATAGTGAGCAAACTGAGAAGACAGACAGAGGATGGTACCTCGAGGCTTATTATCAGATGGCAAGGATTGACTTCAGCCAGATAGTCAACCAGGGGGAACTGTGTGATGCCAGTTAAAAGTGTGTGTGGGCCTCAATGTTTCTGGTGCTGCAACCCTTTAACACAGCTCCTCCTGCTGGGTGACCCCAATCGTAAGATTATTTTGTTGCCACTTCATAACTGTAATTTTGCTACTGGTATAAATCAGGATGTAAACATATGATCCATGACCCCATCAAGGTGTCTACCCACGGGTTGAGAACCGTGAGGACCGTTGCCCTGGAGGTTTTCAGGAGAGTTGCTGAACTGTTTCCATTTGGCAAACTACTTCTCCATCATTTTAGGGACAATAGACAGAAAAGCAGAGCCTTGCAGTTCCTTCATGTCACATATAGTGAGCATGGCATCCTTGCTGCCAGCCAGCTTGGCACTCACAGCTGGCTCTTGGTTTTCTACTGTTGGATGTAAATTATCTCACAGAGCATGGCACTTTGACAGGCCCAGTCTGTGCTGAAGACCCAGGAAACACGAATGAGCAGACACACAAACATGAATTGCTGCCACTGTAATGGACTACTGCTTCTCGGCAATCAGGGCTTTCTCGAGTTCTAAGATCTAGATGATCTTCCCATATACTGTGTTTATTAAGAAACCTAATCATAGATTTATGACCTGCATTACTTCCTGACATTACTCAGTCTCGAGTGTCCCCAAACGAACAGTCAAGGCCCAAGCCCATTATCAGCATCCTCCTTAGCACCTTCTTAATTATGTGCCTCATAGGTTCCCCAGAGTGGAAACAATTCTGCATTGTACTGAGTAAATACAACCAATCCTAGTGGCCTTGGATCAAAGGCACTGACACTCTGTCATAAAAGGAGACAGTGTTATACACACACACACACACACACACACACACACACACGTTTATTTTCACTCTGGCTGTGGGGGTCAGATAGGAGCCCACAGCCATACACTCTCTGCATTTTCTTTGCTAAGGATTCAGAATAGCTCTTGGCTTTCCCAGTAGGAAGAGGAATCAGCTGATGACCCCTCAGCCCGTGGCTACAGTTCTCTCCATGCTAGTGCAAGCACACATGTGGAATCTGGGCCAGAGTCTACATTGTCCTGGTTGTGTCTGTGCTGCAGCCAGGCCCAGTGATACCCAAGTGACATAAGGAAACTACTTTGCTTGTGGTGATGGGGGCATTTGTCTTTGGGAGAGCAAGTCTCCTGAGTTGTGGGCAGGGCTGGGACAGAGATAAAGGTTCCTCTCCTTCTGTAGCACCTAGATTCACCGAAGCAGGCTGCTTTGAGGAATTACGACTATACTCATCTACAGTTTGATATATTCATTTCCTTTAAGGAAACATCGGTGTTTCTTGGCACTGGATTCTATTTGCACTTGAAGCCTGTGATTTTGTTGTTGTTGTTCGTTTGTTTGCTACCAATTTACATACTAACTTTTGCCTCTTGTAACAGATGTTCTCTTTTTATTTAGTTCAGTAAGCACTACTATGCGTCACTATACTGCATAGAACAGCAAAAATGAATTAAATATGAACAAATAATCTAAGAAAGAGGATTGGCTGCATTTACACATAACTGGGCTTTTCTCTCTCGGCCAACAAATATTTATTAAGCAAGTGTTTATTCAAAGGCGTCCACCAACCTAGGTGTGGTGCCCCATACCTGTAATCTTAACATTCATGAGGCTGAAGCAGGAGTAAACTCCAGTTTGAGGCCAGCCTGGGCTACACAGTGAGTTTGAGATCAGCCGGAGCTACATAGTGAGTCCTGTTTTCAACAAGACCAAAAAAACACAGGTAGTATGAGTGTAAAGAACAATAATCTATTTGTTGAGCACTTCTACATGTGAATACTGGACCAAGGCCTTTGATTTCCATCTCTCTCTTTCTCAGAAGGACGCCCTGAGATGGAAGCTGTTGTTTAGCTTCCATGCCGCATGGCTGTGATCATTGTACCATTTCCTAAGTTCCTGGGGCTAGTTCAAGTGCTGGGAATAGGATTAAGGCCCGGTTAAAATGTCTGTGCCCATACAGGCACTTATAATCTGTGTTTTGTCATTCTATTCTTCCAGTTTTCTTTCTTTTTAAATGTCTCGTTGCTCTCTGGAAACTTCCACTTTGAGAAAACTTTGAAAAATATACACTGAATCTGGATGGTTTGCAAGTCCTTTGATTTTCTTCCTCTTCACCAAGTAGCACATGTGAGCAACAGGCCACACAGAGCAGAGTCTGGTCTCTGAAACTCACTGTATTCCCACTGCTCTATGCATTCTGTACAGTCTTGGGAAGTTATTTTTAATGCAACATGCCACAGTGGCATGTTGAAAGATCCATAGTAACTAGCTAACAGTAACAGCAGGGCTTGCCAAGTAGAAGTTCCATAAATCAGTCATAAACACAGTTACAAAAATTGGGGCCAACGTCATGTGCGCGAGGGAGTGCCTTTGGAGAAGCCTAGTTTAATCATAGTTTTATGGGATTGCTTTGGATCTTCTCATTGCAAAGGATTTTTAAGAAGGAAAAATGAAAACAGAGTGAGAAAGAGTCTTTCTGGTACTTTATTCCGACGGCACATTTTCTCCTGGGCCATCAGGCAACCCAGGGAAGCCAAGGTAAAGATGAAGTGATGAATACATCGATGCCAATGTCCCCTTTCTCATGGCTGTAATGGTTTTGGAATTTTTCCTTTTCCACTACCACAGCCCATGTTCAGACCTTAATAATTCCACATACTGAAAACCTCATGGCTGTCCCATCCTCCCTCAAACCTACCAAATTCACAACAGTGAAAACAGCCCAGGTGGGATTTTGAACATCTAATCCTTTGAGTGAGAATTTTACAAGGAGCTGCCAAGTGCTACCAAGCCACATAAAAGCTTGAAACTCTCGGGGATTTCTTGTGTCGTAAACCTACAGCACACACTTGCAGGAAGCAGGATGCTTTATTTAGATCTGAATCATGCTTTGGGGATTGTAAAAGCTTGTTTATCTGGCAATGGGTGTATTGCCAACCAATACCGACAAGGAACAAGCCACTTTTGAGAAGGCAGAGAAGTGCCCTATACTGGTTTGACTTTCTGCTGTTGCAGAGGACCGAGGCAAAGAGAGTAGACCATCAGCTCCCGTGGGGACTGTTTGTTACCCAAGAACAGAAATCCATCAGCGTGAAGGATGCTGGAGTTCTGGCAGCTTTCAGTTCGATAAGAAGGTCGGTGTGTGGAGAAAGGAGGGCTGCATCCTGCTGTGTGTGTGTGTGTGTGTGTGTGTGTGTGTGTGTGTGTGAAATCCGGTTTTTCTTACAACCTTTCAGGAGCCTTGTTGTTGGCAGGACGGGGGATGTCTGCGTAGCTGGGAAGGCTGGAGGTGGCTCCCCTGTCGCTGCCTCTGCAGTGCGAGGATGGCAAATGTCTGACATTCCCAAGGCTTCCGGGAGTCTAACCTCCTCTCGACATCCGAGCGCCTTACCCACTGAACCATCCGCAGAGTTTCCAAAGCTTGGATGCTTTTCAAGAGTATAAATTCTTTCCGAACCCAAACGAGGGCTATCAGCGGGGTCGGCGATCCTCGTGGACATTTGGGTGGAGGAGTGGGGACAGAGGTCACCTCGGGGCAGAGCGGCGAGGGGGAGATGAGAGGCACAGTGTGGCGAGACTGAGAGAGGACGCGGTTGATGAAGGGAAAGGGTATGTAAGATGGAAGGGAGGCAGACAAACAGCAGAGGGAGGCCTCCAAGAAGGCATGAGAGGGCGGGGATGGGAATCACTCGCTGTGACCTGCTTTGAGG